TACACCTTGTTATATCAGTGATAGAATAGGACTTGAATTGAGTGAAGACACAGGCAGCAGGTTTTGGATGACTTCAAGTGTACAGAGGATGAAATGTAGGAAGAGCAGCCAGGAGTGCATTGGAATAGTCAACTCTAGAAGTAACAAAAGCATAAATGATGGTTTTGGCAGCCAATCAGCTGAAAAAGGAGTGAAGGCAGACAGAGGTTCCAGAGGGCAAAATAGGCTATCTTAGTCATGGAACAAATATGAGGTTGGAAGCCTGTTTCAGAAACAATTGAGACACCTAAGTTGCAAATAGACCGTCTTATCTCAGACAGTTTCAAGTTACTTTCTCTTCACTGTGCAATAAGTCTTAAATGCACAGGGGGTAAGTCTGATGAAAATCAGGTTAATTCATTGAAGAAGTGCTGAATTTGAGGGACTGAGGAAAGAAAATGGGCTACAATATTGACATACACTGATGTGATTGGGAAACATTTAAAGCGGTGTGAACCAGAGTGAAGAAAAAATATATTCTGCTAAAATGAAAGTGAACAGACATTAATGAGACTCCATGGATGAATAAAGTCAGAACAACTGAGAATAAGGAAAGACATACATTAAGTATATTCACATCAGAGAAATACATGATAAAAGGGATTATGAAGTGATTAGATAAAAGTTTTTTAAAAAACAAGGCTAAAAGGAACAACAAAATTAAGTTAAGGTATGTAAAACAAAATATTTTACAGGAACTTCAATCAAAGCCTGGGATAGGAACATAGTTATTAAGTATAATATCACAGATAGCCATAGGGAGATATGCAAATTTATCAGGAAGATAGAACAGGTGGACATAGCATGGAATGATGTTATGAGGTAAGTGCATTTATAATTAAAAGGGGATGTACTAAAGAGACCAATAAACTCCAGGTTAAAGCTCCTGATCTGGTTGGATTGCATCCATGCATTTTAAGATAATTTAGGGAAGAGTCGGCAAAAGCATTACTGTATGTATTTAATAATTAAAGAGGAAAAAGGTGTAATATGGAGAACTGGCAGAATGCAGATTTTGCACCCACTTTTGGAGGAGATAGACGCATCTAGGGAATTATAGGCAGTCAGTTTTACATCAGTGGCAGGAAAATATTAGGAATAGATAATAGAAATCCTAACTAAAAGAGAAAATTTTGTAAAAAAAAACGTATTATTGAATAGACAGTATTGCTTTCAAAAGAGAAACTCTTGCTTTTCTTTAATTTTCTTACTGAATCATTTTGAGAAAGTGACAAAAAATTGACAATCATAATGCAGTAGGTGTAATTTTTTTGTGGACTTTCAAAAGGCAACTGACATGGTCCCTAATAATGTACTAATGAATAAGGTCAAAGAATGGAAAGTTTTGTCAGAGTATATACAGAGAGAATGTTTCCATTTGTGGGGAAGAGTACAAGTAGAAACGATTGAGAAAAGATAGTGTCCAAATAAATTTAATAGGGAATTCAGAAGAAATCTCTTCACCCAAAGAATGATGAGAATGACAAATTTGCTAACACAAGGAATGGTTGGAATGCATAGTATTGCGCATTTAAGAAGAAGCTAGACAACATTTGAGGGAGGAATAGAAAAGAGGGATGCTTTGATGGGTTTAGATGAGAAAAGATCGAAAGAGGAACATAAATGCCAGCATTGAATATTTGGGCCAAATTATATCATGTTTCATCTTATTTTAATCTATCGTTGTGATTGCTATGATGGTGTTTATAGTTAAATAGTAATACTGCAAATTAGGAAATAAAAGTGAGTTAGTTAACCCTTTGGAGTTTCTCTGCAGTTTGAACTGGCCAGTGCAAAGTTGAGATGGTAGAGCACCAATATTAGTGGAATAGTGTAAATACAGTGTGATACATTTATGTAGATCACTTCCATTCTAAATTTAGAAATCAAAATTTCCAATTGAAAGTGCTGACCAACAAATGTGAATGGATGGTCGATGTTAAAGGTTTTCTTTGGGCAATCTGCTGGGTCTTGAATAATGCTAACAAGACTTGGTAGTCTTCACTTTTTAAAATAATCCATTCTGTCTTTTTAACTTCTATTTTAAATTTTGTGTCCACATTTTTAATCAAAAGTGTCCATGTATTTTAGTTATTCTGTTCCTGTATCCTTGTGTCAGTGTTGGCAATGTAGAGTGCACGATGTTGATGAGAAGTGCACAGAGACACAAGGTAAAGGAGAAAGAAGGGAGATATTAGGGTTGAGAGAAAGAAAGGAATAAAGAGAGAAAAGCAGAGGGTCTCTCAAGATCTTGCTGTAAAACATACCATGCTGCCTGCCAGATTAAAGGGCAGTGGTAATGTACTAATAGTAATGATCAATGGAGATTGACCATACTTCTCAGTGGTGTCTGTGATAATGAGAATAAAGCTCAATGGGAAAGGAGGAATGACCTTGCAGGTAAATCGATGTCCAAATATTCGTCATGCTGCTGCCCATGGGATTCGGTCTCCAGAAATTCCTACACTGCTGTAGAATATTCAATTTAGTTATTGAGCATTTCCAATCAACTGCTGTAAATGTATCTGACCTATAGCTAATACTTTAGGGATTTATCAAGGGAGGTTTCAATCAACAGAGAGGGCGATGTCAGGAACACATGCACACTGTTGCTCCAGCGTATTTAGAGAAGCCTGAAAGTAAGCTTATCTACCATTGACTCCTCTCTTATCCCCCCTCTACTGTTCACTATCCTGGTTCCCTCCTCTCTATCTACCAACATGAAGGACCTTCATTCTCCTTGTTTCTCCCTACTGCCTCCTCTATACACACTTCTTCTTCCCCATCTCTTCTTTCTTCCATCTGACAAAGACATGGACATAACAGACTAAATGGCCTCTTTCTGTGCCATAACCATTCTGCGGTACTATTCATATCTGCTTCCTTCCTCCTCCCTTACCTAATTCCACTTTTAGCCCTGACTTTTAACTTTGCTGAACCTATGTACTATAGGACAATTTATAAACAGTAAACCAATGGAAGTTTTAATTTAGGAATCATCCCAAATAAGTTTTCAAGAGATTTAAAGGAAATGAAAAAGGAAAGATTAGGAAAAATGACCAAAAGCTTGGTCAAAGAGATGGGTTTTAAAGGGGAACTTAAAGTGAAAGAGAAGGGGAAGCAGCAGAGTTTAGAGCATGGGGCTTAGGTAGCTAAAATCATGGTCATGAATAATGGAAGCATAAAGTGAGTGGGAATACACATGAGGCTTGGATCAGAGAAACATATTTTAGGGATGGGAACTTGAGGTTTAATACACTGATGAACAAAGTCAACAATGCATTAGCAAAGACAGAGAATAGACCGTCAGTGCTTGTTGCAGTTTGTGAAATGTTTCAAGATAATTCACTTGAGTAGTTTGGATAATGTCAGATATTTGCAATTGCCAGCGGATCCTCTTGAGATTAAATTACTGTTACAACTTCAAAGTCAGCCATCAATTAGTCTTCAAAAATGTAATGGGTAATTCTTTTTCAAAAGTTATTCTTTATCTCATACTGAAAATGTTCTGGATTTAGATATAAACAACAGCTTGTCCGAGCTGGAGAAAGGGAGCGGGATCTGGAACGAATGAAAGTACAGGCCGAGTTGGATTGGCAACACCGCTGTGAGGAGATAGAAAGAACTCAGTACGCAAAATCTGAACAACTTATTCAAAGTCTGAGCCAAGCCCGGGACCAGGTGGGTCACAGAAAATAACGTTCAGTAGATCAGTTGTTTTTTTTCAGATCAGACCTCCATTTCAATGTCCCATTTTTTAATGAACGCATGAATGATTTTATTGTCACACATATCTAGAAGGATGCAGGAAAAAGTCACCACAGTCTGGCACCGTTTTGAGTTGCAAAAAGAATGAAAAGAAATTACTTAAATAGAGTTCACCTTCTGTTCAAATTGGGTCTCTAGCACGGCTCCAAGGGTCCTGCAAAATATTCTGGGCCTCAAGGAGTTCCAGCCACCACCAAGAGTCCAGGCTTCTGGCCTACTGCAGCCAGGAATCCCTGCTCCACACTGAGTCCTGATCCACACTGCTCACGCTGCAGCCAGCCACCCCACCAATACTGCTCCGGCCTCGAAGATGAAGAAAGGAAAGAAAAGAAAAAGACAAAAAGGAGAAAGAGAAAAGCATGCTGCTGAACTGGGGTGGATGGGCTCAGGAGCCCAAACGCTACCTACTGTGCCAGCACTACTCAAGATGTACTTGAGTCCGGTCCTCAAACATATTATTTTTAGGATGTCTGATTTTAGATGACAGTTTCAATTGGGTCTCAATCTTTAAACACTCCAAGCAATACCATTTCAAACTAGTGGAACATTCTAAGCAAACAACCCACAACATTTTTAAGCAAAAGCCAATTCGCCTCATCTAATAATATTAATGGGTCCTTTAAAATTTTTCAGAATCTAAACCACATCGTTGCCAAGAAGTAATCAGTTCTTCCCTGGGTCACATCTTATCTGTGCAACAAATTTTGTTAAATCTGTTCATTAGTTATCAGATATAATGTTTACAATAGACAGATTTTCACAGGGGTAAAAAGATTACCTTCACCCACCTTGAGTAGCAGAGGTAATCACACCAACTGGATTGAATGTATTTTTTTGCAGTCATATTTGGTGATTCAGCAATTTTTGCAGAAGTATACACTGAGCTTGTTGTCATAGATTTGCTTTCTCCTAGAAAACTATCAAAGTAACTTACAAAAGCTATTGCAGACATATAAATAGATTTCTGTAAATAAGCAAGAAAAAACATCTTTTGCGTTATACAAGATGTTAATCTAGGGGGATATGTTACCCATAAAGCAACACTCTTAGACTGAACCCATAAGTGTTAGCTGACGTGAAAGAAGATACCACATCATGATGGTCAATAACATTGAATTGAGTCATAGCAGCTGTAGCCTGTTGTGATGCTGAAATCAGATTAGTCACTCGGATTTTATATAGATAATTGCGACATCAGTGTAATTTCAAAGGTGAAGTCGTATCTGATTCTACCATTGTCAGATTGTATTGAGAGTTTGGATATGTGTATTTTGCTACAGTAATTGACCTGTTGAAAAGATATTATAAAGTTTAATTGACTGATACAACCAAAGGAATATCAGCTTTTGCAACCTTTGGACTTTATCAATGTAAAGTCATGCTGCTTGGAATGAAAAATTCACCAGCGATGTTTGAACAATTAACCCGGAATGTCATCGAAGGATTACGCAACTGTGACAACTTGATTGTGTTCAGTTAAACCTGGGAGGAACATTTACAACACTTGAACGAACTGTTTAATTGATTACACTGCGCCAACTTTATAACTTTGACTGAAAGTGAATTTGCCAAAGGAAAAGTAACTTATTTGGGCCACATGGCAGGAACAAGGATAAGTTGCAGCTAGCGAAGAAAAATAAGGGCTACCTTGGGTTTAATGTATCAAAGACAAAGAGCAACATTTTGCAGTGGATTTTTGTGATGAATGAGTGATTTTATCAGACATTTGTTCTGCATTTCAGGACTGTAATGGCTCATTTGACAAGTTGGTTAAAGAAAAGCAAGAAATTTGAATAGACAAAAGAATGTCAGTGCATTTGACTACTTGTAAACTTTACTGACTAGCGCACCAGATTTAGCAGTACCAACATATTTCTCCTCATCTCAGTCTTAAAAGGCTTACCCCTTATCCTTTAACTATGACCACTGGTTCTGCACTCCCCAACCATTGGGAACATCCTTACTACATCTAACCTGTCTGGTCCTTTTAGAATGTTATAGGTTTCTATGAGATCATTTTGCCAGCTGCCCGCATTATTCTAAATTCCAGTGAATATAATCCTAACCAACTCATTCTCTTATTTTACGTCAGTCTTGCCATATCAGGAATCGATTTGGTAAATGTTCACTGCACTCCCTCTGTAGTAAGAACATCCTCAGATAATGAGACCAAAACAGCGCACACATTTCAACTGTGGCCTCACCACTACCCTGTGTAATTGCAGCAAGACATCCTCCCTTCCCACAGCTTCTTCCAATGTAACCAGAGAAGATGCAACACCTGCCCCTTCACCTCCTCTCTGCTTATCATCCAAAGGCCTAAACCATTTTGCCAGGTGAAGCAGTATTTCACCTGTACCTCCTACAATGTGGTCTCTTGTAATCGCTGTACCCAATGACGCTTCCTCTACATTGGAGGAACTAAACGCAGGCTGGGTGACCGCTTTGCAGAAGACCTATGGTCTGTGCGCATGCCTGACTCTGACCTTACTGTACCCGGTCATTTTAACACAGCATCCTGCTCACATGCCCACCTGTCTGTTCTTGGCATGCTGCAATGCTCCAGCAAATCACAGTGGAAACTGGAGGAACAATATCTCATCTTCAAACTAGGCACTTTACAATATTGAGTTCAACACCTTCAAATTATGAACGAATTCCTTCCCTTTCTTTTAGATTTGCTTGTTACATTCTCTGTCACCATGTCCTGTCACCCCTCCCCCGACTGCATTGGGACTGTCTGTTCTTTCCAATCTAGCAGTTAGACGCACCGTTGTTCTGCCATTCTCACAAACCGATCACTTAATCTGAACTATCAACATCCATTCTCCCCCAGCACTCCAACCTGCCTCCACACCCCGTAGCATAAATGCTGTTCCCTGCACATTTCACTTCAACTCTGATGAAGAGTCATCTAGACTCGAAACGTTAGCTTGCCTTCTCTCCATGAATGCTGCCTAACCCACAGTGATCTCCGGCATTTTTTGTTTTCATCCTTGTTCCTCTGCTTAAATCCTCTCATTATGAAGGCTAATCTACAGTTGGCCACTTTTAATACCTGCTGCACCTGCACACATACATCAGCAACTGGTGCACAAGGACACTCGGGTCTCGTTGAACATTCCCCTCTCTCAATTTACAGCCGTTCTCATAATAATCAGCCTTCCTATTTTTGCTACCAAAGTAGATAAACTCACATTTATCCAGATTATACTGCAGCTACCATGCATGTGCCACCGCACTCGGCCTGTTCAAATCTCACTGCAAGATGTCAGCGTCCCTCTCACAGTTCACCCTTCAATCCAGCTTTGTATCATCCGCAAATTTTGAAATGTTACATTTAGTTCCCCCATTCAAATTATTAACATGTATTGTAAATAGCTGGGGTTCTTGTCCCCGATCCTTGTGGTACCCCACTCATCACTACCTGCCATTCAGAAAAAGACCCATTTATTCCTCCTGTTTGTTTCCTGTCTGCTAACCAATTGTCTATTCATCTCAATATACTACGCACAATCCCATGTGATTTAATTTTACACATCACATCAAATTATAAGATATTCGTATTGACTGTTGATCCCATTGACATATGCAGTGTTATTACAGGCGGATGAGATAGGGATTGAACAGTCAGTTAATATTTTTCATGAAAATTGAATGCATGTCAAAATGCATGGAGATCAAGATGTAGGATCAGTCTGGGTAGAAATAAGAAATAGCAAGGGAATAAGTCTTAGTGGGCATAATCCTATCGGTTTCCTAACAGTAGTTCCATAGTAGGACACGGAATAAACCAGTAATACTGAGGCTTGTTTTTAAAAAAAAGGTCTGACAATAATCATGGGTGTTTTTAAAATGCATGTAGAGTGGACTAATCAAATTGGCAAGGGTAGCATCAAGGGAAAGTTCAGGAAGTGTATTAGATATTGGTTCCCCAATGTAAATGCTCCAAGAAACAGACAGGGAGCAGGCTATTCTGGAATTAATACAGTGTAATGAGATGGGATTAATTCATCATCTCATAGTAAAGGATCCTGGAGGGAAGATTTATCATGGCATGCTGGAATTTTAGATTCAGTTTGAGGATGAGAAACTTGAGTTCATACTAGTGTTCTATTGTTAAAGGTAATTACATAGGCATGAGGAAAGATTTGGCAGCAATAGACTGGACAGAGAGATTAAAACATAGGACAATTGAAAAACAGTGATAAACATTTGAGAGCTATTCAGTTCCTCCAACCAAAATATTCTAATGAGGAAGAAAGCTTGTAAGAGGGAGAAAAAGCATCCACAACTAAAATAGAAAGTTGAAGATAATATAAAAGTAAAAACTAAGGCATACCATATTGCAAAGGATTGGAAAACTTTTAAAGCCCAACAAAGGGATATTAAAAATATAATAAAAATAGCAAAGGCAAATTATGAAAGATAATTAGGGAAAATATAAAAATAGTTACCAACAGTTTCTGTAAGTGTATAAAAAGGAACAGAGTGGTTAAAGTGTATGTTGCTCCCTTAGAGTATGAGACTGGAGACTTAATAATGGGGAACACAGAAATGGCAGAGACACTAAATCAATATCTTTCCTCAGTTTTTGAAGTGGAGGATAATTAAACCATCCCAATGGGAACAGATAATGCAGAGGTTATAGAAAAGGAGGAACTTAACAACAATCACCAAAACTAGATGTACCATATTGAGCAAAGGTAGCCAAGTCCCCAGGGCCTTGGGTCTCAAAGGAAGTAGCAGCAAAGATAATGAATGTAATGATTATAAGATTCCAAATTTCCCTGGAATTTGGAAAGGTTCCAGTGGATTTGGAAAAATGCTAATATAATGTCCTTATTCAAGAAGGAGAGAAGCAAAATGTAGGGAACTATCGATCAGTTAGTTTAACTTCTGTCATTAGGAAA